ATCTTTTTTGCTTCCAATTAACCTAAAGACTCTACAAATGGCGCCCGAACTAAACGGGTTTTGGATGATGATTCTCCGCACCCAGGATTTGGCGACTAGGTCCCCTAAAACACTAGTCGCCCTTTAAAAAAAGGGGAGTATATAAGGTATTTCTCCCACTACCCTAGCATGCCTTCGTGATGTAACGGTAGCACGCTGGGCTGGTATTCCAGAGGTCCGTGGTTCCATTCCCGGCGAAGGCGGTTGCATATTTTTCATCTTTTCTGCTTCCAATTAACCTAATGACTCTATAACGCTATAACCTTTCTCTTATTCAATAAATTCCGATATCCTCTTCAGTTTATTTGTTTGCACATGTATCAGATTGAAATTTTCAAAGATGAATTCTCTTTGCTAACGTGAACTTTTTTGATAAATTATTTTAATGTGCGTTAGTATTACAGTTCGATGCATCTCAAATGAATTCTGTATCTTTTACATACATTAGCTCCTACATCCTATCACTGCACTTCGATTATTTAGAATTAAATAAAATTCCGTAAGAAATTGAAATTCATAAAGCGCACTTTTACTCTTTTATGTGGGTAAACATTTTTACTCAATTCAGTTTAGATTACAGAATATTTTGCTCCTCGGACGAAGTTCTGCTTAATTTTCTCTGAAAATGCATAAAAAGCACTTCTGTAGTACTGAAATAATCAATAGTCTAAAGTGGAATTTTTCCCAATTTTAAAAATTCATGTTTGTTAGCTCACCGTGCATTCTTCAAGTAAAAAACATTTAAGGAAATAGCTGTATGGTGCTTCTTATGCTTTAATACATAATAGCAAATAAAATCAAACTAAAAATCTGCTTTAGAATTCAATTTAAATTTCAGCTTTCAGTTTTATTTGAACGTATACAAACCCATTTTACCAGAATTCAAAATATAAAATGTAAAATGAAAGACCACAATTTGAATTACGCTTCAGCGTTTCATAATCCGCTTACCCGTGGAATAGGAACAAAATATTTCCTTTGAAATGTAGCGAATTCTGAATGCTGCCAAATTAGATTTCGTTCACTAGAATTGGCAACAGTATGAATGAATGTAAACTCCATGAAATGATTAATTAAATTTTCGAAGGCTATTATCCAACTGTCTAAATTTCAATTAACCTTCATACAATTCATATTCATGCTGAGACATCTTATTAATAAGGTTTTGATAATAATTTAATTTAATGCTTTTCATTCCTTTTTTATCTTTTTGAAATTTTCAAAGATGAATTCTCTTTGCTAACGTGAACTTTTTTGATAAATTATTTTAATGTGCGTTAGTATTACAGTTCAATGCATCTCAAATGAATTCTGTATCTTTTACATACATTAGCTCCTACATTCTATCACTGCACTTCGATTAGTTAGAATTAAATAAAATTCCGTAAGAAATTGAAATTCATAAAACGCACTTTTACTCTTTTATGTGGGTAAACATTTTTACTCTTGCATCGAAATTTACCAAAATCTAAGCGTGATTAATATGCTTGCAGTTTCTCTTCTTTGAATTAGTCTCTCTTAAACTACTAGATAGGCAAGAAAGTAATTTTGGTTTGCACAAAGAGATAGTGCTATGTTCGTCTTGTTATTCTTCTGCCAATCTCATAATTCTTTTTATTTTGGGATTTGGCAGCTGACACTTTTAACGTGTTATAGAAACACATTCCATGTATTTTTGTTAACAAAAGTTAGTTTAAAAACTCATTAGGGTTACAGCCGAAAACATCGTAGCGTGTGTGTGTGTGTGTGTGTATTTAATTACGGCAAAGCACACTAGGGCTATCTGCCTAAGGGGAGGGATGCCTTTCGTGGAGGACTTTCTAAGGGAAACTGGCTCGTATACACGTTACACATGGGGAAAACCACGAAAACACCCATGCAGCCAGCCCGTTCGCGGGATTCGAACCTCGGACCGAACTACCAGTGTTCAGCGACTTTACCGCTCGGCCGCTGGTGGGCCCCAAAACATCGTAGCAAAAACATCGCAGACGAAAACATCGCAGCAAAAACATCGCGGACGAAAAACGACGCGGAGAAAACAACGCAAGGCGAAAACGTCGTGCTACAAAACATCGTGGGAGAAAACATCGCAAAGAGAAAACATCGCAGTTCTAAAACATCCTGGTACAAAAACATCGTAGCCGAAAATAAAACGGTTCAAAAACTTCGCAGTTTAAAACCATCATCATCGAAAATATCGTGGTGAAAAATAAAGTATCTACAAATCATCGCATGACGATAATCGCAGACATTTTTTCAGACTTTAATAACTGTAAATGGATATTCCCATAATGATTGTGAGGCAAGATGGAAAGAGATAATTTTTACTTCCATATTTTTTATTAATAATTTTTGGTGAGAAAATAAAAAGGAAACTTAAGCTAGAAAATTAACGCAACTTATAGCACTTAATAGAATTTTAAAAACGACATAGTTAACTAACAAAGCCATTAGTAAATATTTTTAATAAAGTTTTACTGGTAATTTTTCATGAAAAGTATAATCTATAAGTAGCATTTAATTTTCTTGCTTAAGTTCTTCTTTACTTTTCCAGCAAAAATTTATAGTTAAAAAAAATGTGAAAGTAAAAATTATCCTTCTTACATTCTTGCGCTCACATATCATTATGGAAATATGATTTAACAATTATTAAACCTGAAAAAAGCATGTCTGCGATGTTATCGTTCATGCGATGATTTGTAGATACTTTATTCTTTAGCACGATATTTTCGACGACGAAGTTTTTAAACTGCGAAGTTTTTTAACCGCTTTATTTGCTACGATGATGTTTGTACCAAGATGTTTTAGAACTGCGATGTTTTCTCTTTGCAATGTTTTCTCCCACGATGTTTGGCAGCACGACGTTTTCGCCTTGCGTTGTTTCCTCCGCGACGTTTTCGTCCACGATGCTTTTGCCGCGATTTTATCGGCGGACACCAGTCATTAGTATATTTCGAAGGAGGCGTGAAAAATGAACAATGACCTTGCTTCTGGTACTCGAACCTGGATCTCTCGAATACGCGTCGAGTGTGCTACCGTTACACTACGAAGGCATGCAGAAAGGAGGGAGATATTATTTTATATACTCCTCCTTTTAAAGGGCGACTGGGGATTAGGAGACCCAATCGCCTAATTCTAGGGTGAAGAATCATCCTCCAACACCTTCTGGTTCGGGCGCCACTGTAGAACCATTAGGTTTTTTTGAGGCAGGGAACTGAAGAAATGAGCAATGCTTTCACCGGGACTCGAACCTGGACCTCTCGAATACGCGCCGAGTGTGCTACCATTACATGACGAAGGCAAGCAGAAAGGATGGGGAAAATATAAGTTTACTGTCAGTTCTAACATGGTTTGAAAAATAAACATTTTCGACATATTTCACTTTTTTATTTTTAAAAAGGCAAGAAAGCGGCTGAGGTTCACAAAGAGATATGAGAAGTTTAAGTTATTGATTGCTTAACAGAAAACTTATGTCAGAATTGGTTTAAAAATTTTCGCTCTGGAGATTTTTCACTAGAAGTTCACCAACGATCCAACCAACGAAGCCGATCTTCTGAAGCTGATGGAAGAATGAAAACCATAATTGGACCAAATCGTCATATAGCTGTGGTAAAAATTGCAAAAGAATTAAATGTATCATGCACAACAATCGCAAACCACATAAAATGAGTTCGATATTTGGGTTCCGCATAAAATGAAAAAAAAAATCACTTAACACAAGGAATCAAAACTTCAAACGTAATGCAATAGAACTTTTTTGAAACGAATTATTACTGGTGATGAAGAATGTATCGTTTAGAATAACATTAGTCGAAAATGAGCACTGTCCAAACATAATGAATCATCACAAATCATATAGAAATCTAAATTGCATCAGAAAAACCACATTCTGTCAATTTTGTGGGATTACAAATGTGTTGTATATTTGGAGCTGCTTCCAAGCACACAGAACGACCAACTCAGCTGTTTACTGCTAACAACTTACGAAATTGAACGAAGCAGTGAAAGGGAAAAAGGCCAGAATTTTGGCAAAACGCAGAGGAATCGTGTTTAACACGACAATGCGAGACCTCACACATCTTATCAGCAAAACATACGAAATTACCAGAACTTTGATGGGGTTATTCAATTCAATTCAATTCAATTATGGCAAAGCACACGAGGGCTATCTGCCTAAAGGAAGGGATGACTTCGTGGAGGACTTTATAAGGGAAACTGGCTCGTGTACACGTTACACATGGCGAAAACCACGAAAACGCCCATGCAGCCAGCCCGTTCGCGGTATTCGAACCTCGGACCGAACTGCCAGTGTTCAGCGTCTTTACCGATCGGCTGCTGGTGGGCGGAACTTTGTTGGGAAGTGATGTCACATCCCCCATAAGTCGCGACCTTGTGGCATTTTTTGGAAGTTTACAATCTTCTTAAATATTAAAAATAATTTCAGCAATAACAATGACATCAAATCGCACTTAGTAATTTTTTTTTTGATGATAAAAAATACCAGCAGTTCTGTCAGCGTGGAAAAATTACAATTTATGTATAATAACATACCAATATTGATGTTTTACCAATATGAATTTAGAGCAATTCATCACACATAATTGTTATAAATAAATATACGATTCATTACATTTTATTAATAATTTTTGAATTAGATCTAGTAAAAAGTGAATTTTTGCAATAAAATCGGAAAGAGCGTGCATTTAAATAAATAAAATATCTAAACATATTGGCCTAAAATACTACTACATATTTATAATTCAACATTTATCTCCTTTATCATATTTTAAAATGTCTTTGAGACACAAAACATAATTTATGTATCAACCTTTTAAGGGCTTATTTGCTTTTGAAATGTAAGCATTTAAAAACATTAAACTTTAAGTAGAATGATAGATCTCAAAATACGAAGATCCATTAGTTGTGAAATGTTCCATGCATTAAAGAATATGTTTACGCACCATCCTGATCCGAGTCTGGGTCACAAGCATCCCCTATACCATCTCCATCTGAATCTGCCTGGTCTGGATTCGGTATTTTAGGACAGTTATCGCAAGCGTCACCTCTTCGATCAGGTCCATCTACATCAGTATCTTCTTGTTTTGGATTCGCAGTCAAGGGACAGTTATCTAAAGGCTGAAAGAAGCATAAAAGATTCAGTTAATCTACACTGCGAAAGAAAAAACTTGGACAGTTCTATATATCTCCCGCGTCTACTAGACCAATTGACGAAATTCAACTTGCGTTTTTCATGTTTCGAAAGCGCAACTTTGGATATATATATATTAGATTTATATATAGCATTGTTCTAACATACTCATTTTGACACAAAATCGGACTTTTTTTGAAATAACATACCAATTTTTTTTTTCATATTTCGATTCTACCATTCAAATTACGCCAAACTGCCAAGTTTTGTAAAAATCGCGAGAATACTTTTTAAAAAATTAGCTCTCAAAATTTTAGCTCCACAATATTAACTGAGTTTGGTATATATTTATTAATATCTCTTTTTTTTATTATTAAACTTATATGATTCTTCCTTTCACATTTCGAAATTTAGGTTCATTTCAAATAACATTCGCCCATTTTTTATGATTTATTTTTAAAATTTGTATTTTTAAATAATTTTTATAAAGTTTTCGGAAAAGTTTTGAGTTATAATCTACAAACTTTTCACCATCATCTTAAAACAGATGTATTTCTAAGCATACCTGCAAAAAATTATACTATTTTATTCAAAATTTCCGAAGATTGCCGGGGATTTATATATTGGCGCGTTTTGAAATTCGGCATATTTGTTGTAATCGATAAGAACATCAAATGTGGTTTAGGCACTTTGTTAAAATTATTTGAAAGGAGGAACGATGTGACTTTTTTCTGCTCATGCACAATGTAAAAAGATAGGAACGGTGTGACTTTTCTTCCGCTCCAGCACAATAGAGGGATGGGAAAGAAAAATGGGTTGCCATATACGAGGGTTGGGGCAAAAGTCATGCCAACTATTTTTTTCTTGTAGATATGTGAACGGATCACAAAACGTATATGTGTCGTGTGTAGTGTGGAAGTTCTGAAGGCATAGTTTGTATGCAGAAAAACAGATGGCTCTGTGATAGCTGGCTGTGTGGTAGCGAGGGCTCTGAAATCAGTCAGTTGGTGAGTCCGTGTGAGATGAAAAGTAACCCGTGTTGAGCAGCACGCTTACATCAAAATAGCCGTTCTTCGAGGAAGAAATGCGAGGAAATGTCACAGTGAATTAGTAGAAGCCCTTGGGAATAATGCCCACCAATCGTACAGTCGCACGGTGGGTAGAAAGTTTCATAAGGACGTGGTAAACCAGTGATGAGCAACGTTGGACGACGGTGTGGTTGCCGGACCGAATGACACTTGCCGTCATCGAGCACCTCATGGATGAAGACAGACGATGGACGTTACTGGAGTTAGAGAAGGCAAGTGGCATCGAGAAATGCACCATCCACAGGATATTGCGTAATGAGCTAGCGTCAGAATCCTTCCTCAGTCAAATTTATGGTGATCGTCGCGTATGACGTCAAGGGTGTCATTGTTTACCACTTTGTTCCTCATGGCAGAACAGTGACCGCACAGTACTACAGGGACTTCCTGGTGCGACGTGGCGTTCAGGATAAACGTCCGGATCTTGTGGACAGTGCAATAATTCTGCACGACAATGCATGACCACATAAAGCAGAGTGTGTACGGCAGCTACTCCGACGTTTGGGATGGGAAGAATTGGAGCACCAGCCGTACTCTCCTGACCTTTCGCCCTGTGACTTTGATCTCGTACCCGAGATTAAGGAACCAATACGTGGTAAGCGGTTTGGAACACGAGAGGACATTGCTAATGCTGTGCGCCAACAGATGACCCGATTCACACATGGTGCGGGAAATGCTGAGGCTGATGATATTCACCGCCTCCCACCTACATCGTTAGCAGCGTGTGGTGACAGTAGCAGGAGACTACAGTGAGGGTCTTCAGGCCCAGGTTTGTCATGTCAACTTTGTGTGTATTGTGTTATCATTCTTTTGCACGGTGAAGGCTATATTGCCCTGTATACTACCGTAATAAATTCGTGTGTTACGATATTTCAGTGCTATTCATTGTCCACACATGTAGCTAAGACCTTGCCCTTTCGTCTGCTTATGTAACATTTTTCAACCGGACTGGTATCTTCAAGAAAAAAAATAGTTGCCATGACTTTTGCCCCAACCTACGTATTAAGAAGTTCGCCAAGTGAATTATTTTTGGTACAAGCTGAAAAAATTTGTTAAAATAAATATGTGAATTTCTCGGTAAATTTCGCACAACATTTTACAAAATTTAATATTTAGGCATAATTTGAACCGTAGAATCGAAATCTGGAAAAACATTTATATATTATTTCTGAAAAAGTCCCATTTTGTGTCAAAATATCTATGTTAGAACAATGCTATATATAAATCTAATATATATCCTAAGTCGTGCTTTTGAGACATGAAAAACGCAGTTTGAATTTCGTCAATTGTCCCAATAGAACGGGAGATATAGAACTGTCCAATTTTTTTCTTTTCTTTCCCCCCCCCTCAGTGTACAAGTATTTAAGTCGACGTCCTTGTTTGTTAAACATAAGAGCTCGTCTCCACACAAATGCATTATTTATAATAATATTAATAATACATTATTTATACTTTTGTAAGCACTCGTTACTAAAGACGTATTAATATTTATGTTTTGCAATCGTGTGTTTAACATTTTAACTAATAAGATAGAAACTCATAAACTTTGGCAACGCATTTTATTCTACTAGCATTTTATTTATCTGGGAAATAATATAAGTTACATGGATCACTTTCTTAGAAAATAACAATCGTACACTATATCAAATTATAAAACCTTTTTTTTTTTTTTTTTTTTTTTTTGGCATGAATTACTAACTGTACAGAGTTCAAAGTGGTCCTTCAATTTCTTTGAGTCAGTAAAATTAAATTATCCAATGGAACAAAAATGATCGTAATGCCCCCAGCGAAAAATTAAATAAATTATATATTCTAATTCTGCGTGAAAAATGGACAAAGTTATACAGAATCGATTTATTGAATTCACGTTTTTAAAATAAAATGCACTAACGTGCAATAATTACAAATTTAAGATCATCGAACATAAATCGATTACTAAGCGGATTGCTTTGACAGAGATATAGAACGAATCCCTTTCGCATTTGATCATATTTCTGTTACATAAAACCAACATTCTTCTTGATCAAAATTCTTCACATTCATTAAAAAGTTAATTCAACACCCCACTTATCGTTTCCCTGCTGAGGCTGGGCATGGCAAAAGTAATTTCAAAAAGAGCTAGGAGGGCTACGAACTCACTTGAAGCGTTTTGGACGTTACATCTGCAACCGAGGTCATACCGCGAAGGTCATAGCATCTATGTGTCTTTTATATACAGTTTTCTGGGAGTCATATTGTTTGGAAGTGCTACCAGGTGGTCCACTTCACCTAATATAGCTAAATACCACTTTGAGGCCAATAACAAACAAATACCTTGATGGAAAGTTGTAAATAACAGCTCAATGATACTTGAGCCCAAGAAGTAAACGGGTGAACCCTAGAAATTCTGTGGTGGAAAATTCATTCGGGCTTTTCTGCCAGATTGACCAAACATACAGTGGATGGACAAAAATATGGAAACACCTTGTGAAATGCATGTTTGAAAAGAAAGATTGATTTTAATGAAATATGTAGGTGGTGCTGGCATTTTTTGACTACTGACGCCACCTATACAACTTCGTTAATGTGGAAACAGTTCAGTTGTTGTCGGAGTACTGTTATGTGAGGTTGTCATTGCATTATGTCAGAGGAGTTAACAGACTTCGAAAGTGGGCCAAATTGTTGGAGCACGTATGGTAGGTGCTTCCGTAAGCAACGTAGCCGAGGTGTTTTAGTGTTTAAGAGGTACTGTATCGAAGATTTATTCCGCATATTTGAAAAGCCGAAAACATCATCTGCTAAATCACAGCGCGGATGAAAGTGGGTCCTCAGTGATCGGACAGACGATCATTAAGGGCAATTGTGACGAAAAATAAGAAGACCACAGCTGCAAAAGTTACTGCTGAAATGAATGTTGTGTTACCGAACCCTGCGAGTACCAAAAACAATTAGAAGGGAGCTTCATAAACAGGGAATTGCTGGCCGTGCAATTGAATTGAGAAGCCACTCATCAGTGATGCTAATGCCCGTAACAGGAAAAGGTGGTGTTTAAGTCATAAAGCCTGGACTATAGAGCAGTGGAAGCGAGTAATATGGTCTGACGAGTCTTCTTTCACATTGTTTTCCTACTTCTGGCCGAGTTTACGTCTGGAGAACGCCATCTCAAGCCTATAATACAGGACTGCTTGTTGCCAAGAGTGAAACATGGCGGGGGTTCTGTTATGGTTTGGGGCAGCCATATCGTGGTTCTCTGCTAAGCCCCATGATAACTGTGTCAGGGCACATGACTGCCAAGACTTATGTGAACATTTTGGCCGATCAAGTTCATCCCATGGTACAAACTTTGTTCCCCGATGGTGATGGTGTCTTCCAAGACAACAAAGCCTCTGTTCACACAGCTCACATTGTCCAGGACTAGTTTTCTGAGCACGAGGATGAGTTGTCCCATCTTCCCTGGCCACCACAGTCACCAGACCTGAATATTATCGAACCTTTGTGGTCTACATTGGAACAGAAAGTGCGTTCTCATTATCCACCGCCAACATCGTATCTGAACTTGCCACCGTTTTGCAGGACGAATTGTATAATATTCCCTGGCAAACATACAGGAATGTATTATCCATTCCGAGAAGACTGCAAGCTGTTTTGGATGCCAATGGGTTTCCTACACCATATTAAGCAAAGAAACATGTTTTTTTAAAGGTGTTTCCATATTTTTGTCCAACCCCTGTATCTCAGATAAGTGCTGTGTCGGTTGCATCCAAATCGCGAGTCTCGAAGCATTTTTTTTTTTTTTTTCCTTCTGAGGAAGATACCGTGGTACGACGCTACGAAATTTTGTAAGTTGATGAACTGTCATAAAAAAGATTTTAATGTGTGCCAGATGGAATACCGTCTGGAAACATCTTGTACATTTTGATTATACTTGACATAAAACATTAACATGCCTTAACACTGACCGGATAAAATACACATTGTCGGAAACATTCATTGTATTTTTATATTCCGCATGTACTGTCCTAACCGCACAGATAGCCGAAAATGGCCTTGTCTTTGGATGTACACGTGACTCCAGAGGCTCTTTCCTTTTCCAAGTCTAAGCAGAATGCAATGAAACAAAGCACGAGGATTAACATTTCTACATGAAATGGGAAGCTTTAAACAAGAAGGATATTTAGCTATGGCAGAAATATTAACAAAAACAGCAGAACTTCATTAACCTTCCAGCACGCGCGTATCCACAAAATGTACGACAAATTCAGTTTTTAATGCACGTTTTTCGCATTTCGAAGCTGAGACGTCTGACGGGCATTTCTATTCCTCCTTTCTACCCTTCCCCACATCATGGAATGTGCCAACAGGAAGTCATTTGACTTTTTTTTTTAACTGGGCTTTTGTGCTACGTGGCAGCTTTTTCATAAAAGTTACGACACGCGCGTGGTCGTGTTTTAAAATTCGGAAAATATTTTTTTCTCAAATATTTAGTAATTTTGTGTTAATAATTGCCGTGTATTATTTTAATTTGAATACATTTGGCTCTGTAAATTTTACATCGGTTTTCATGAAAAAAAAAAAAAAAAACAATATGTGCAACCAGCTGATTTCGCTCGGATTCTTCAAGAATTATCTGATAAAGAAAAAGAAACCTTTGGCTGGGAGAACAATAGCGATTTCCATTCTTTATTTTCTTTTATTTCTGTTTTTTAGAAATAAATAAAAACATTAAAGTTAGTTTAACGTGCGTTTTCGTAACCAGTAAGAAGAAAATTTCCTTGCAGAAGTAAGTAATGCTAAACATACTTTTATCCTACCAAGGTGTTTTCTTTTTTTATTGTCTATGCTTGTCTTTGATGAATATTAAAATTAGCTTGGATTTTAAAATATAATTATTAAATAATAAATTTAAAATTTTATGTAATGAAATGCATCATTGCATTTCCATCTCACTAAATAAGAACTTAAAAATAATTTACTTATATTTGAATGTGATATCATTTGCATTTTGCAATAATAAGAGATTAATATTTTATTCCTTAACAAATTTATTATCAATATTCACTCATTTCTGTCGTTTTTCGTGCCAAAAACGGCATACGACGTGCGCGTGCTCATGTAAAATTGCCAAGCGCGAGTCCTGGAAAGGTTAATGATCATGATTGTGTCAATTATGTAACATTTATTTCCTATGATACATATAACTTCTGTTGCTCACTAGAGCACATCGACTGATATTAATTAAATAGGGCTTTACAACCTTTTATTTGATAAATTCCTTTTATCTCGCTTCGTTACAGAACTTAATCTGATAACTCTTCTAATTTTCCGTTAAAACACTGCAATCGCTTTCATTCGATTGAGCATAACCGTTTTAATTACTGACTTACCTAAAGGTACAGAGTTTGAGATTATTTATTTCGAAATATAGGAAACAGTGTAGGGAATCTTTCTGAAGTTGAAAATCTTATATATAAATGAAATATTTTCGCAAAAGTGCAGTTTTATTTACAGGGATGATACCAGTTACGCAGAAGTTTTCATCACTCTGATCAATTGGAGGATACTGAAGACATGAACTTCTTTATAGAGCATTCAGCAATATAGCAAATTTAGTGCATACACGCGTGCTGGAAGGTTAGTACCCGGTAAAATTAACTTCCGTGTGGACCGAATGTAAATAAAATCGATACTTTAATTAACATCAAAACTGTAGTTTTTCAGTTTGTACGATACCAAATCTTATAAGCAAGAGATTTCGGTACTTTTCCATTTCGCCGGCGCAAATCTCGTCAAGCAGACTTTATTGGCGACAACATACCGTGTACAAGTATACACATAAAAAACGTTAACAAATGTTAGTTCTAAGAATTTTTTATTTTGAAGGCATAAGCATTTTAATACCGTTTAAAATTTTGTAAAAAGCCAATAACTAAAGACAATAAATTTGTAAAAAGATTTGATACTTTTACCGTTTCCCCGGCGCAAATCTCGCCAAGCAGGCTTTATTCGGGACAACATACAATATACACAAATAAAAAATGTTAACGAATTTTAGTTCTAGGAATTTTTTATTTTGAAGGCATAAACATTTTAATATCGTTTAAAATTTTCTAAAATGCTAATAACTAAAGACAATAAATTTATATAAAGATTTTAATTTAAAAATTTGCTACGCTTACATGATTCAACACCCTGATTCGCCGGTCTATATCACGTGACCCTAAGTGATCTCATCTCACGTAAACTACGCTACAAAAATCTAATTCTCTCAGTAATTATCTACATTAATTTCAAGTTAAATCTTAATTTGGAATACAAGTTTCAATGCAGGAATTATTTCAATTCGTACGAATAGCTTACTCTGAAATTATGTAAAAACGCAGTGCTGTACTTCGCTGGCGCATTCTCATTAGAATGGATGAATTTAACCCTTGACTTTGCCTTTTCAGTATTTTCGCCTTCGGGTGAGTGGTGTGATTGCATCTTAATCGACTTAATTACCGCGAATGGCCCTAGGGCATAAAATTGAATTATCTGGTAAAAACTCTATGTAATTGTATGGCAGTATTGAAAGAAACAAGCAATCTGATAAAAAAAAATGGCTGTGACTTGTTTTGAAGATGTGGCGTAAAAGGTTACCTGCGAAGATATTCCGTTTGCCGTCAGTTGTACCATTATTGGCGACTTTATCGCCTGCGCCGGCAAAACGGAAAAGTACCGAGATTTCAAAGCAACGAAGAAGATTCCGATTTATTTCATATTGTTAAGATCGCAAGGGTTCGTAATGGATTAGATGCACACAAAACCGATGATAGCTTGATGAAATTTATTTTTCCCAAAACACTTTGCAGTTCTGGCACTTTTCACACAAGTATTCGTACTGCTCTTCTCATTATTACAGAGTACAATCAATAGTCAGTATAAACAATCAGTAGTTACCACTTCAGACTACAAGAACGACGAGCATAAGGCGAACCTCCTTCAAAGCCTCAAATGCATAAGCTCTCGTCTTCATCTGTGAGCACACTCAATATTCTGAGATAAACTCAAAACTAAACTGAAAAACTGGTGCTGTTTCCTATCTTATATATTTTCCCCCGTCCGCCGAGAAATTTCCACTATCTTAGGTTTCTTGAAATTTCTGGGAAGCACACATAGTCACAGATACATACAGTTACATAGTTTTTTTTCGGACCAAAATGTTGCCAAATAAACGCCACGTTTAGCGACTTTTGGCGATAAAAATTAGTCGCCCAAACTTTTGCTAACTTGGCAGTATCTCGCCAAATTGGCAAGACAGTCATTTATCTCGATGCTAAATGAACTTGCCACTACAACCTTATTTTTCTGACGAAGCTTTGTGCTCTTGAGGCCTTTCATGTTACATTATACCATATATATATATAATTCGTAACAATATAAGTGAGATTTAATAGAAATAATGCATCTATTCATAGCTAATATACGTAACATAAAATACTATATAGATTATTATTATCTGGGCATTTAGGAAATAGGCTTAGGCAATTAAAGAAATTTAGATCATTTTGGCAAGAAATATTTAAAAAAGGTGTTCATAGATTAGCTCAAACCACCGTTAGTGACAATAACTTTTAAGCAATTACAAATCAGTAAGTATTAGTCAATACCACCACATTACTAAACTTCTGATGTAGAATATTAAATTACTGAGAAAATGATGATGGTCATTAATTATATAGCAGGATATATAATATGAGGCGTAAAATACATAAAGACATGCAGGATACTAATAAATTAAAGTCTGTGACATACTGGGTTATTGGGGACACCATCATTGTCGGCGTCATTATCACAGGCGTCGCCTAATCCATCTCCATCAGCGTCTTCCTGTCCACTGTTTGGAGTCACTGGGCAATTGTCCTAATAAGAAGTAAACAGAAAATATCAGCGTTGTATTTATAAATAAAGTTTTTATCAGTAGTGGAATCTTATTTCTTTACATTAAATGCAGATCAATATACTTAAAATTATTTTTAAGCACAAATTAAATAAAGCTGCTTATTTTTAAAAATTTTAAATAAAATAGTTATAGTGTTCGATTTCTATGATGAAAAATAGAATATTAAAAGTAGTTCGCAATTTGATTAGAAACTATGAGAAATTTAGAGATTTTCGAATAATCTGCATAGATTTGGTTAGTGTTTTCAATTCTGGACAACCTATAAGGTGTTTTTCTCTCCTTTCTGCATGCCTTTGTGGTGTAACGATTAGCACACTCGGCGCGTATTCGAGTGGTCCAGGTTTAAGTCCCAGTGAGGGCAATGCACATTTTCCATGACTCCTGCTTAAAAGAAAAACCTAATGACTCTACAGCAGTAGCCGAACTAAAAAGGTGGTGGATGATGATTCTTCACCACCAGAATTTGTCGACTGGTTCCCCTTTAAAAAGAGGTTTTTGCTGCCTTCCTGCATGTTAATTTCTGCAGTTAAATTTCTTCAAACAGCCCAGTAGAACAGGAGATATAGAACTGACCCTCCCTTTTTTTGTGCAAGGTGTACAGATGCAGTACAACGGCAAGTTTTAAACATTATCTGCCGGGTATTGAGATTACACTCTTCCTGACAAGCGGCATATAGCTTCCTGGTATGGCTAAGCATGTCATAAAGCTGAGAATATTGGATGCTCTGTGGCAAGTAAAGATAAGAAAAATTAGTCGAAAATACTTAAGGATCTATGTTTGATTCCAGATGGTGATGAATATTTGCAAATGGCAGTATATTAACGATATAACTTGCAATAAAGCGATAAATAAGTTTGTAGAGACATTAGCTCCGTTCGTTGCCGAGAATATGAAAAATCAGTAATGTCCTCACCGGGATTTGAACTTCCTAACTGCTGGTTGGGCGTGCTTTAGCACACAGTACTTGGTTGGGCGTGCTTTAGCTCCACGAAAGCACACAGTACTGAAAGAGAAAATTCCTTACATTCTACTCCACCTTGAAGGGTGACTGAAAAGGAAGCTATCCAGTCGGCGATTGCAGGTGATTACAAATTATAGTTTTCCATATTTCACTTCGGGTACCACTTGCAGATTTATTAGGTTTATTGAGGAATAAGATACACGAAAAAACAGCAATGCCTTGAGCAGAATTTTAGCTCCGGACCTCTCGATTGCTGGCCAGACGTGTTTCCAATTACAGCACGATCCAATACGCTAAGGAAGCAGGAAATTCCTTACGACTTGGCATTCCTGTTAATTAATCTATTTTGCTATTCAAATTACAAAACTGTGTTTTAAGGATTAAGGAATAATAAATTCATCTCTTTTTTTCTCGTAATTAAATTTTTTTGATATGTTCATTGCATCTGACCGCTGGAATCGTCCTATTACTCAAAACTCAGTACTTTCGGAACGCGCACATTTGCTCCAGTCCTCTTAGTACAGACAGGGCTTAATCGGTGTAATGTTTAGTGTCCATGATTGCTAAATCACTGGGCTCAAGTTCGAATCCCAGAGAAAGTATAGATAACTAACTGAAAGTCTACAGCGCCCGTACTGCAAACGGGCAAACGAACCGAAAGTTTTCTAGCGTCGTTTGGTGGACGACCGTCACGGACCGCTGGTCGGAACTTAACAACTTGTGCGGTGAGATTACACCTGTCCAACCAATGGTGAATTTCTGGTGTCTCGCTCCACTTATCTCAGTACCTGTCACAAGCAATGGGAAATGCCTCTTTTAGTATTGTGACGTCACCTTAGTTTAAATTATCGGTGATTCCTAAAGTCCGTATATCCGAGAACAGTGAAACGTTACAGTATGAGAGTTCGGTCTAGTAAGATGCTTCTGACATTACAGAAGTCTATTTTTCCATCAAAAATATCCTTAATGACAAGATTTTGTAAGCTTTATTGAGATGCCCCAGAGAAGAAATATGAAAACAGAAGCTTTCTCTCCGTTCGAACTGAAACATGAACTAGGCTCTTTCTTTGTCCCGGATAGTATAATCATTTCACTAGGATGGTGATTAGCGACGCTGACTGCCGTACCGACAGGTCCGGGTTCGAATCCCGGAGAAGGCATGGACGTTTGTAAAAGTATAGTGTCTGTGCGGCAGGAGGCACTCTAAATATGCGTCGAACGAAAACTCCTCTCGAGATGTTCATAGTAGAGGAAGAGGGGTGGGAAACCTTCAGACCTGTCCCTCCCCGGGATATTCTTCATCAAAACTGGGAGCGGAACTGAGCTTTGTTTAATATCTGTTAGCACTTTTTTCTCCTTGATGATATATGAGCGTTGGTTGTCTAAGTTGTCGTTGTTGCCAATCTTACAACAGTTAGCACAAGCCCACAACATTCATCTTAGCAAGGAGTCAAATGGTTCTGTGGTTGGCTTGAGCCTTGAGTACCATATAGGTGACAGCCCGATTTTATTATATAGGTGATTATACCATATAGGTGACAGCCCGATTGTTCAAAAGTCGTACTATCACGTGTACGGTGCTCAAGGCTGTTCCCAACGAAAGGCACAAACTTACACTCCTTGCTACAAAGAATTCCGTGCGTTTGTTCTGATGTCACTGCCAAACAAGTGAGATAAGTCACAACAACATTTCTCTAGTAGAAAGTACACTAATGCCCTCTGACTGCCAATTTCAAGTATTGCAAATTTCGTAACGTGATATGATTTTACAACGAACATTTTTAATATTTTATTATTATATTTTTAATAATTTTATTGTTATATTTTACATTTTTTTAATATTTTCTTCTCTTGTAATATGCTTCTAGCATTGATAACATAATGAATGTAGGTGAAAGCATCAAAAAAGCATATCTTGTGACTTCGGCATGAAGACGAGGGAAAGTAAGATTTATAAGGAGTCTTATATTTTCGAATGCACTAATATGTAATATTTTTAAGAGCAATAAGTGTAAATATGCAAATAAATTAGCACACAGATTCACAGATGATATGTAGAGATAAAGCTATCATAAAAATTAACGTATATAACACTTCTAGCAATTGTTCAAAAATTAGACTAGAAAAAGTGTCAAGAAATAACGTACTGCTTTGCATCTTTCGTTGTCACACCTCAAGTCGAAATCGGACCATCCATCTAAATCACTGTCAGGACCACACATATGACCGTCTCCAGCCCAGCCGATGCGGCACTGAAAAAGTAGCAAAATTAGTTTCATATTTTTTCCTTTAAAGTTTTTTCAAAGTTCTGCAATGTAATCTTATGCATTTATATTCATAGTGTATAAATAAATGGATTGGAAACATATGGCAGAACGTGTTGGAATGGAATCTGACTTTCTAACACATACGGAAAAGGATTAGAATTGCGTATGAAAGTTACATAAAAGTTGCCTAAATATAAGCATGTATTACTAACTGGAAATCTATAATAAAAGATTTGTAATGAACTGAAACCTTATGATTTTCTTAAATTTAAGTAATAATTTCACTGTGAAATGTGCAAATAAAACTGTACGTGTAAAGGATTTTATATAGCATTTTTTATCTGCTGTTTCTGATTACTTCGCATATATTTTGAATTTCTAAAATTGTTAAATTCTGAATTATAAATACTATTCTTAGGATTGCTGAAAAACGTAACGTTTGAGTATTTTAAACATTTTATTGCTTTGAAATTAAAAATTATTAATTTCGATATAATTTTACGGTATATCTCAAGTGGAATTCAAATCGTATTGAAGTAAGTAATCACAAATAACGTAAACTACGGGAAAAAAATGGGACAGTTCTATATCTCGTCATCCGTTCTACGGGGCGTGTATACGAGCCAGTTTCCCTTAGAAAGTCCTCCACGAAGGCATCCCTCCCCTTAGGCAGATAGCCCTAGTGTGCTTGGCCATAATTAAATACACCAACACCGTTCTACTGGGCCGAAACTTGCGATTGACGAAATTAAACTTGCGTTTTTCATGTCTTGAAAGCGCGACTTAGGATATGTATTAGATTTATATATATAGTCTTGTTCTAATATAGGTATTTTGACACAAAATCGGACTTTTTCTGCAATAACATGCCAATTTTTTTTTTCCATATTTCGATTCTACGACTCATACTACGCCAAACCGCCAAGTTTTATAAAAATCACGCGAATAGTTTTTAACAAATTAGCTCTAAAAATTTTGGCTCCTCAATGTTAATTGAATTTGGTATATATTTATTAATATCTCTATTTTTATTAAACTTACTTGATTCCTTCTTCCAGAATTCGAAATTTAGGCTTAATTCAAATATAATTCACACATTTTTTTATTTATTTTCAAAATTTGTATTTTTAAATATATTTATGAATTTTTCGAAAAACTTTTTGTATTATACCTATAAAATTTTTAACATCATCTTAAAGTAAATGTATTTTTAGGTACACCTGCAAAAATTACAATTTTTTATTCAAAATTCCCTAAAATATACATGAATTTAGATATTGGCCCGTTTTGAAATTTGGCATCATTTTTTTTAGCGGTAATAAAGCTAAATGTGGCTTACTCCCTTTTTTAAAATTATTTTGAAAGTATGAACTGAAGGTTGACCTTGAAGGTGGCTTTTTTTCGGTTCGCGTAAAATGAATGAAATTAAAGGAAAGTAGGTTACTATAAATTAACAAGTTCGCCAATAAAATTATTCTAGGCGCAAACTGAAAAAATGCGCCAAGATAAATTTTTGAATTTCTCCGTAAATTTCGCACCAAATGTTACAAAATTTAATATTTAGGCATAATTTTATTCGAAGAACCGAAATATAGAAGAAAATTGGCATTTCATTTTAGAAAAAGTCCGATTTTATGTTAGAATAATGCTATATATAAATTTAATATATATATATATATATATATATATGTAATAATAAAATTCCATAATCAAGAATAAACTTAAAATCTAACTGTATGTTCTTTTCATTTTTAATGGCGACGGTCTCTTATTTGAAAGTACGTGGAATTAAATCCACAGCCCCGTAGAGAATGTTCTGGAAATATTTAAAGCGAACTGGATTGGCTGACGAGGCTGACGTCATTTCTTGGAAGCTCCGCCTTTCCAGAGGCTAAAAAAAGACTCGCAAAATGAATATCGGGGCTTTTCTTTAATGTAATGATGCAGTAAACTTCATACAAAAAGTTATTAGTAATTCTTTTTATTTACTCCGAATATCTGATTTTGTAACTGCTATTACTCCTGAATAATAATAAATGGATCCTTGTTTTTTAAACTTATCGTCTGATAATTTAAGCTACGACTACATCTATGATTCTTCACAAATCTATTTATTCCGGACAAAAGCTGGTACATCACATATATATATATATATATCCTAATTCGCGCTTTCCAGGCATGAAAAACGCAGTTTGAATTTCGTCAATTGGCGCAGTAGAACTGGAGATATAGAACTATACCTTTTTTTCCGCAGTGTACATATATGACACGATTTCTAATTATCATCATTGTTTACCAATATTAAATACACAGAGATCGAAAAAGAATGCCAGCATTTTGCAACCCTATTATAAAATGAATTTTTTAATTTATGGAAATAATTTTTATGTTGAAATTTAGATAAATAATTACTCCCCTCACAGTAGACTGTTACTTTAAAGTAGGCATTTCAAGGCGGTTCCTCGCCATCACCGTACAGAAGGAATTAAGAGATTTCAGCAAATTAGAGGATTCGACCTTTTTTCCTCAACAGCCGTTACCATGGTTAAAAGAGCTTCAGGGAGGAAAAATGGCTTTGAAATGCCGATTCTGAAGTAAGAGACTACAGATAGTGTGTGAGTGGCTTTATATGTAAAAGTTCCCTAGCTCATGGATTAGACGGGGTGGCCCAATATTGTGGTTTCCCGAAGCCCACGTGTTACAAATTTGTACTTCTTTTTCTGAGAAATTTTTAAGAACATTGTTTACAGTGAAAATATTATTGGTATGAGCCACGTGAAACGTCGAATGATAGCTGCAACTGAGGCTTAAAACTGAATATCCTTTTGATGTCTGTTCAACAAATAATGTCAAAATGTGTTAAAATGTATATAAAACTTTATATATTTCAAGTATAGGTGTAAAAAATTTACATACATATGTATTTTTTATTGCATAATACAATTTTGTAATTGTAGCAAATTTTTCTATGGTCCTGTATCATACGTACACTGGTTATCATAAATTAAGGAAAAATCACAAAAATCACGATTACTGAAAATGTTACATGTAGAATTTAATGAAACTTACCCACAATATAGAACACATAGCAATGTATCAAATAACATAAAAAGAAATTACCAGACAAATATGGTAGTATAGAAATTAGCACATGTATAAAATGAACAAATCGAAGGTGTCTTTGCTATAGAAAAAGTACCTTCAATATGGAATATGATCGCCTCTAGAAGCAATACAGCACATACAGCGATGTGTGATGCTTTCAATTAGGCGGTCTATCAGTTCCATAGGAAGCCAGAGCCATTGCTCTTGCAAAGCAGTTGCAAGCGAGACAAGCATTTGAGGGGGCGGATTGAGAGCAGCTAGACGTCTCCCTAAAGCATCCGAAACGTGCTCGATAGGATTCAAGTCCGGAGATCGAGCAGGCCACTTCATGCGCATAATTGTTTCCTGTTGAAGATAATCATCTACGACGCGAGCCCTGTGTGCTCTTGCGTTGTCGTCCTGTAACAGGAAAGCATCACCTATTGCCCCGGCATATGGGCGCACATAAACATCAAGGATGTCATCTCTATAAATCTGAGCATTCACGGTTCTTCTTGGAAAGACATGGAGGTCTGTGCGTCCACCCAAAGAGATGCCACCGCAAACACAGACACTGCCCCTTCCGTATGCATCTCTTTCACGGATGATAACGGGTTCTAGGTTCTCTCCATATCAAATAACGTATACTATCGCTTTCTAGACTAAACCTGGACTCATCCGTAAAGAGAACCTCCCTCCATTGATCAGGCGTCCAGTGGACATGTTGTCGTGCCTACTGAAAACGGTCCCTCCTATGGCGTGACGTGAGCGGCACACAAATGGCTGGTCGCCTCGCATACAGACCACCTTCGTGAAGCCTTCTACGCGCAGTTGACGTTGACAAGAACCTTCCGATGTCTGCAGCAAGGGAGGATCTAAGAAGAGTCGGAGTAGCGGTTCTATTCCTGAGTGCACATAATGTCAAATATCGGTCATAGGCGCTCGTCGTAGCAGTTGGCCGTCCTTGGCTGAACCTCCTAGATGCCGAATCTGTGGTTTGAAATTGCCTCGAAAGTCTCTGAATCACAAAAAGGACTCGCATTTAGCCATCTGGCCACTTCTGTTTGAATTTGTCCTGCCTCTAGTCTCCCAATGGCTCTCCGTCGCAGTTCTGCAGGCAAATGATGCGAGGTCATTGTTACGAATTGGCTATCTCAGATGTCTGATGTCAGATTTCTGATGGTATTTTTGTGATTTTTCCTTAATTTATGATAACCAGTGTAGTAGTTTTGCATCTTATATATTATCTCAGTTACCATAATAAAAATCGCCAAATTTCCTGAATTTCCGAACCCTGTCAACCATGCTCCTAGCAAACCTTCAAGCAACGGCGCTATTTTCGTGTAGTTCTTTTAGTTGTATTCCAGTTTTTCTAGACAAATCGTGATATTTTTTGCCATACTCTCAATTTTAAACTATGGGCTTTTGGAAATCGCGAATGATGAAATAAATTATGGTAACCGTTTTGCAGAAATTTTGCAATATTTGAACATAAAATCGTTAAATGAAATAACAATGAGATGCATTTGGTCGATAGTCGTTACTTAGCGGAGGTTGCGCGCGATGCCGAGTTTGTGCAATTCTCTGATTTTTTTAAAGCAAAAACTGATTAATACATACATGGGAAGAAGAAAAGCGGAAAGTTCCGCAGTTTTAAATTAACATTATATTTCAGTAAATTTTTAATAAATATTGGAAATATGGTTTAGATTTTTAACTTGCTTGATGCTTATATAGTTATTTTTTCACTTTTTTCTACTAAGTTTTAATTCTAAATACCGTAAAAAAGGTTTTTATTTAAATATTTTTAATTAGCATATTTAAAAAAGGACAATATTTACAAATATTTACAAAATTTAAAAAAGGACAAATTAACAAAGGGCAGCAAATATAAATGATCTTTCAGAAATAACTTCAATTCTAAAATTTATCTTCTCAAATGAAGCTTTAGGTTTCTTGTAAAATTTTAATTTTTAAAAAATGTCAAATATATCTAGCATAGTATAAGTTAATAAAATAATTTAACTAATTGTTGTCTAAATAATGAAACATTTCTAAGAAAACGCATTGTCCACTGTGAATTAAAAATTTAAAATATCGCTTAACGGAGGAAATTGCGATTGCGCAAACGCAGGGGAATTTCTCAAGACGGGGAACATTAAATATTAATAAAACGAATTTTAAACAAAAAGCTCGTACCTGTAGATTAGCAGTGCATATATCAAAATTTAACAACATTTATGTATTGTGAAAAATTTTGAAATAAGTTACAACTTCAGGTGCTTAGCTACAAAACTTTCAACAAAAGAAAATAAACAAAAATTTTAAATATAATTCTACTCAAATATATTTAGATCTTGATTTATTTGACTATGAAATACGGCTTTCTTTATTAAATATTAATAAACAAATTTTCGAACACTTGATGTAAGTTTCATAATTTGAAGAATTAAACTATAGTGTTTTCGTAAGAAATCAGCTGGAAATAAAGAGAAAAATCTTATGTGAATTATTACAAATCTTATGTGTATCTTATGTGAATTGATGAAATTTTTCATAAGAGGTAATGATATGAATTTACTGCATTTGTAATGTAACAACATTTTATCAATATTAATAAAATAATTAATATATCGTGTCAATTAAACTAACCTGAAACAAAAAAAAAAGATTGCCAACAGCTACTATTTATTTAAACCGCTGACATTAGCGAACAAATTTCGACATACAGTGACGTCACATGCAATCGTATGCTTCCTCCAACGCCAGAATGTGATCTTATAATAATAATAATGTGTTTAATCTTTGGCAATATTATTTTTATTTAATTTTTTTTGTAAAATTTACAAATTTTTTATTTAAAAAACTCTACGATTTGAAAGATTCTACACTAGCGACACTTTTCGAAATAAAGCATTTTTATCTCCAACGCGCGAGACTGTTGCCAGTCGGAAAAAATGAGTGCGATAATTAGTGTTTCCGGAATTTTTAATTAATATATCGGCTGATTATAGTCGTACGAAGATGGAGACAGTCCAAATGACTTCCCAAGAATTTTTGGAATCGGGAATAGTATATTTAATGTTTTGCAATGCTATTTTTATTTCATATTTTATAAAACTTAGAAATTGTTAACAAACTCTACGATTTGAAAGCGAGCAGTGGCAACACTTCTCGAAATAAGGCAGATTTTTATCTTCAGCGTGCGAGACTGTTGCCACTCGGAAAAATAAGGACGAAAATTAGCGTTTTTAGACTTTTTAATTAATATCTTCGCTAATCAAAGTCGTACGCAGATGAGAATTGGCGAAATGGCTTCCCACGAATTTTTGGAATCCGAAGGAGGGGTACCTCTGTCGAACTTCAACTCCCCGCCGTTCCGGAGGAGATAATGCCACAATTAACTAACAAAGAGACAGACATACATAAATTTTAATAAAATAGATGATGAGAAAAAACGATATCCATCCAAGTAGTAATAAAATTTTACTAATTTAAAACAACTATATCAAGGAACATATACATAGATATTTTCACAGTATTTGAATTAGGAAAGGCAAAAATTTATTTATGAATTGTTCATAATGTCTTGAATGGAAAAGTTCATTTATGAACTGTTCATAACGTTTCAGTTAATTATTCGAATAATGCTCTATCTCTAATCTTAGTATTCGGAAATTATTTTAATGCAGTCAAGTTAGAATACGGTAACGTTCTAATACAATTTCTTCATACTTCAGAAAATGATTTTCCTCTTACGTAATTTAAATATGAAATAATTTTCCTTAGAAAGCACTCCACGAAGGCATACGTCCTAACGCATACAGACCTCATGCGTTCTGACATAATAAATTTACCATTCAAATCACTAATTTGCTTAAAGAGGTTACCTGAAGTTTTAACTTAAGTAATATTTGTGAAGCTATAAAGCAGCTGTAAAAGAAAATTTATATATAGTTAAAAGATCAATGGTGAGGGGGAATTATTGAAATATTTCAACTGGTTTTTTTTCATTAATTGCCGGATTCAGTAAGTAAATTTTTATTGCTAAGAGAAATAAAATAAGTAATTTTATAGACCCGTTGGGACGATGAAAAGGGGGAAAAAGATATCTTATAATGCCATATTTTTTTTTTTTTTTGTTAAAAAATATATCTTACTCTGCACTGATAATGGAGAAACCCTCTTCTGAGTTCACATTCAGCATTGGGGTCACAAATGGTGCCATCTGGACAAGATCCCGGATGTTGATGACAGCCGACGCTTTGGTTCCCAACATAACCCTCTCGACATTCTCCACAAATGTAAGACCCCTAGAAAAGCATTTATAGGTCAATAATATATAACATTTCAGCTAACGTATGAAAAACTTTTATACATAACATATGTTAAAACAAATAAATTAAAGCATATTATTAATCATTATCATTCATCATCACCAAAACTATCATAAATCCTAAATTTATAAATATCATAAATAAATGATCAGAGAAAAATTTATAAGGCTTTTTATACTTCGTTTAAAATTTTGCATACATAATGCTTATACTTTAGTTAATGAAACGCATACATGTAATTCATATTCGTGTGTTCATTCTTATCGAATTATTATCTAGCTTCCTTTTTAGAAATATAAATTGTTATCAATTATTAATCCTTATCCAGCTTCATTATCATAATTTTATAAATATAAATGTGCTGAAAAGTTATTTAAAAAAGTAAATGAGCACAGCAAAAATTTATAACCCACTTTTTATACTTCTTTTTTAAGAATTACCACACATATTACTTACATTTTAATTTATGAAACACGTTTATGTAATTAATATTCGTATGTTCATTCTTATGTAGCTTCCTTTTTTAAAAAATGTGTCGTATGTTCATTTTATGTAGCTTGGTGTCTAGTCAAAGATAGTAGGATTCCAAATCTCCTGTGGTTCAATGAACTTCATTTGAGAGGAATATTTTTCAAAGATTATTTACGAAATTGCTATTACAGTTTATTCAACCAATTAACTCTCTTTTAAGAGTGCCGATAGTTGAATATATAATATGATAATTTTTAAAGATTCTGAATGAGTAAAAGATTTTAAAGAGAAGTTGTATTAATCTAATGCAATTCAATTTATCAATTAGATTCAGTATTCAATTCAATAAGATTCAATTTATCTTTTGTAAAGTATATGCCATTTAGGATGCTTTTACACTGCAAAGAAATCCTGTCTTGGTGTGGTGTATTTAATTACGGCAAAGCACACTAGGGCTATCTGCCTAAGGGGAGGGATGCCTTCGTGGAGGAGGGAAACTGGCTCGTATACACGTTACATATGGGGAAAGCCACGAAAGCACCCATGCAGCCAGCCCGTTCGCGGGATTTGAACCTCGGACCGAACTACCAGTGTTCAGCGACTTTACCACTCGGCCGCCGGTGGGCCAGAAATCTTGTCTTGAAATATCACTTTAGTAACTTAGTTACAAATACATAATCTGTATTTGAATACTAATGTTTATTTATCAGTGTTTGCTAGAATTCTTTCTTATACAAATAAAAATTAATATTTGCGGAGTATTATAAACTATACATATTGTGTTGGCATTTAGTCTATTTTCCTTTCTTAGCCCTCTCTCAAATTTCAGATCAAAAGTTGAAAATTAAGTATTAAAAAACAGTAATTAGTTATTGGTTTATTATTGGCTTCATGTAGTGCATTTGGTATTGATTTTCTTTCAGCAATCTCAAACAGCTACGCTCTCTTTCGGCAGGCAAGTTGTCTCATTGGTAGCTCTTCTAAGAAAGTGCAACTTGAAACTTCATAGCCAAAGGGCTATGGAAGACTCAGATTGCACTTCTACAATAAAATTCCAGTAATTCGAGATGCTAGAAATGCCGGATATTCAAATGTCCCATATTATCAGACTAAGCTGTACAATGTCGTAAAAGAATTTTGACGTTATATTGAAAAGAATTGCATTTATTAATCCTGCAAAGACATTTTCTGAGTTAAAGTTATAAATAAGTAAGTTATTTTATAGTTTAATAGTATTGAATCTGCTTTTACTTTGAAATTTTTATTATCGTCGGTGCTTAAAGCCTTTAAAAAAATCACCTGTTTCATAAATTCTGCTTTGGTAGAAAGCATGACACAGAAATACTTCCAAATATGAGTTTAGAAGCCGTATGAAATGTTCTAACTTTCCCAAAAGCTTAAAGTTGCTAAGAAAGCCAAGTTTTTCAAAATTATTTTAACAGCTGGGCCAAAGTGGTTCATAACATCAAGCTTTTAGTGAATTTTTAAAGTCACAAAAGATCCCTTTCATTCCTTAATCAAAATATTTATCAAAGTGAAAACATTTTACATAAATAAAGAAAAATCAAACGATATGTAAGCCCAAAGCTTATAAACAAAGAACTAACTGAAAACGGCAAAAAGAAACACCAGAAAACTGCAGAACCTTAAATAATATTACGGGAAGTGCTGGACGTACCACCGTACACGAAAACATCAGTGAGAATGGTGCCGGATAATCGGATGTGCCGAACAAGTGGATGCCAGATTATCAGACATTTACTGTGTGTTCTTTTTTTAGATATTGCCACGGAGTTCTCAATTTAACCTCGTCCAACCTCTTCTTTTATATTAAAGAAAAAGATTTTCCAGCCTTAATTCAACACTTAACTTGTCCAATATTCATTCAGAATTTTATTCTGGAATGAAAATACAGAAAGAGGAAAAGTGGTCTGATGGTTTTCAGCACAATGACGACAATGACCACTTTCAACACTACGACATGTCTGCTTTCAACACTTGTTGTTGTTGGTGGTGTTACTAATCTCCATGCCTAGGAATATACCAGACGCGGTCCACGAGTCCATTCCCCTTTAAAAAAACGAACACAAGCTTAGGAGACCCGTAAAGGTCCACAAGAGACAACTCCAGGCACTCAAGGAAATGTGCCGGTAATACGGGTGCATTGTGACACATAGAACAAATTGGGTGCATCATACCACTCTCAAAAGTAAGTTCCCTCAGGTGCCCGCTGAAGAACCGGGAAAGTGTTGTCTGAACACATCTTTCGCAATCCATAGCAAGGGAACTTCCAGGACAATCAACTTGAAACCAGGGATGACTCGGGGGCTTTCAACACTACGGAATGGATCTGAAATGTGCATGAGTACTTTTCGAAACAAGAAGGTTTACTACAATTATCTGAAACATAGTCATTAAAATTAAAAAGATATTTCTATCGAAATTAACAGTGCAGCCATGCATGAAAGTTCTTTACAGCAAGGGAACATCAGTTTGATAAATTTCTTAAAAACAGTTTGGCCTTTATGTTCTCGAACACAGACGAACAGCATATTGGCTTTTCAGCGCCTTCCAAACCAAAATCAAATGGCTGGGGAACGTTGTTACAAGAATATTCTTCCTATCCTTTTTAGCAAATCGTATTGCAAAATCTCGTTCAAATCAAGTATCAATCTTCGAAGTTCTGGATGAAGATTCGCTAAACCGAAATCGTTAGATTTTGTATTATGTTATACTGAAGAAAATTTCACGCACAGCCATAATATTGCATAAATTGCAACAGAAGCCACCTCTCTGATGAAACTTTTAAGCTAATAATATGTCTTAATAAAGTGCAATAGAAGTTTTTGTTTTTTGCCAATAGTTCTCATAAATATCCCTGCGCTAATATTTACATGGAAACTGTCAAATCTTCATTCCTTGCCTTAAAGTATGTGGAACATTTCCTTTGAAATTAAAATTTTCTCACTAAATAGACATTCTACTTAAGTAATTTCTATCCTACATGTATAGTTTTCAAAGATAACTATGAGTAATATAATAATAATGGTACGGTGGAACCTCGAAATACGAGTTTAATTCGTTCCAGCATTGAGCCCGTATAGCAAATTTCTTGTATCTAGAAACAAACTTCCCATTTGAAAATAATGGAAATCCAGTTAATCCGTTCTGCACCCCCAAAAATATCAACATAAAAATCAATTTTTTTAATTAATAACACTGGTAAATAATATAACCTTAGTTTACCTTTTCGATAGCTTTTGACGAATAATAGATTCCGACACCGACCTTTTAACTGCTTCTCGTTAATCCACACCAACAAAAGCTTCTAGGTGTTTTCGACGGTGCTTGGAAGGAACGGTAACTCCTTTGGCTACACCAAGTTTCTTAATTTCTTCCTTCTTCTTCAGAATAATGCAGATCGTCAATGTCGAACGGCAGTAAGTCTTCGCCAACTCCGTCACTCTTACACTACGCTTATGTTCATCTATGATTATCTTTCTTAATTTCAACGGTCATGCCTTCCTTATTTTTCTTTGGAGCACTATCTGAGGCAACAATCTTCTTGGAAGGCATCGAGAAATGATTATTTTCACGTTAACTGTAATAAACAATTAACTCACAAGCGCACAAAGACGTTGATCAAAGAACGCTGATTGATCTGATGAGGGGATTCCCCGAATCGGGAAATGGTGCCACGCATACACCAACAGCCTGGCTCATTGCTCGTTACTCGAGTCAATGCTCGTATTTAGAGACTAATTTTTCTCTTATACTTTCCTCGTATCTCGAATTTCTCGTATATAGAGGTGCTCGTATCTTCCGTACTTATTTATTAGCACAACAACCTTGGCTTAAATTGGCGATTTTTACAGATGGAAAATGCGATTTGGTGAATTTTCGGATTGCAGTGGATATTTTTGCCAGAGTTTGGCGACTTCTGCTAAGGTAAATAGTGGGTTGCAAAAATGCGCTGCTAAGCACATAATACTGTATGCTCTGAAGAATTTCCTACTGCAGCTGAATCAAAAATTAAATATTATTTATTCATTACATTGTATGGTTCCTCGTTCCTCTTGTCTAAGATGAACGTTGAGGAACCTAGCGAACTATGTAGTGACTCATCGCTGAGTTCAAGCAACTAAAAACGTAGATTCGCTAAGGGCTAAAATTCCCTTTTATTCTCTCACATAAGTCGGCCCCTTCTCTGGCTTATAGGAAGCCTCTACTGGAGCTTTAACTCAGAATAAGAAATAAGAAAGTAAACTATAGCTAACTAAAGGAGACTTTAGTTAGTTAGCCGAAGCTAAACACAAGTATCTAAAGCTCTTAACTAGCCGGCGAATATCAAAAGGCATGTAATAAAACGGCCGAGCGTATCAGCTTTAAGAGTGGTTCAACCCGAAGACAAACACGCGTTACTAAGGATTCCCAGCGCTCTCTATCGAAGTAAGTTGAATCTTCCTTAAATACTTCTTCTAACTCATTTGCATTCAACGCGATTCTAAAAACTCATTCTGGTAGGGAGTTGTAAGTGGGAACAAGAACTGATAGGAAAGGGCTTTGAAATTAAATGTTATAAAATTAAAATATACCTTAAAAAATATAAGGTATTTCTCCCGCGTTCTTAGCATGCCTTCGTCGTGCAGTGGTCAGCACGATCGACGTGTATTCGAGAAGTCCGTGGTTCGAGTCCCGGCGAGGGCATTGCTCATTTTCCACGTACTCCTGCCTCAAAAATACCTAATGTCTCTACAAACATTCAAAATGTATTGAAACCCATACCCGGAATCGAATAATGTTAAATCGATATGAAACTGCGCTTACACTCAAATTTTTAGATTGCATTCTCTTTGAGTACGCTACAAGATCTAATTAACTACTTCTGAAACCAAAAAGTTGCTTTAAATACATCAAAGACTTAGTGGATGCGTAAACTAATTTATCAGATGACAGCCTGTTTCGATGGATAAATATAACTAAATGCCCAAACTCCTAAACCATCAAAAGAATCTTTGATGACTGCTAACACTTTACGTTATTTGTTTAAAAGGAGGAATATATTCCCTTTTATCTCAACAGGAAACGTGAATTTATTTTCATTTCATTTTCCAAGGTCTTTCTCTAAAGTTAAGGAAAAAAGAAAAGGACTTAACAAAAGTTAGTTATAAGTAGTAATAAAAAATTTCTAATGCTAATGGAAGTTTTCGTTCGTGAAGTAAAGATAAAATTTTAATACGATCGAAATCTTTATCATACATTCACATTAATTTAAATGTCGAAGGCTAGCTTAATGAATCTCATTTTAAAAAATGAAAAGTAAGTAATAAAACACGTACCATTGTGTTTATGCATCGAGAATTTAATGCGCATCTTCCGTTATTCGTCTGGCATTCATCTACGTCATAACAAATCTGAAAAAGAAAATATTATGACAGTTTACAAATCTCTAAAAACATTAATTCTTCAGTTAAATTAAAATTTAAATTGAGGTAAATATATATTCAATATTTTTTTCCATAACATATGTTCAATTTATATCAACCTTTTTGGCTTATAAATGCATTTACATAACTAAATGAACCAAATAATCGGAAGCCAGTCAAATAAAACGACTCTAGCGTGATGTTGTGCAAACATAATTCAGTGCAAATACTATTTCATTACCAGAATTCATCAGAAAGTAATTCATTTATGGAAGAACATACAGAGGCCGTTCGCACATTTCTAGGCTACAAATTTTACTGTGCTACAAAACAATCGTCTTCTTAGAAATTTTTTGAACTGCCTGATAGCGTGTTTTATGCCCGTCTCCATTTCATTACCCTTCCGAGATCGTTCTAGATCCTAAATTGAGACTCAGCCGTAAAGAGTACGAGGGCCCATTGCTTTGGTGTCTCACTTTGGTGTCTGCGATGTTCAAAAGTCCAATTCAACTGCGCTGTGACATACAATGGAACGCAAACGACAGATCGTCAGGCGTACATTCCACCTTCATGCAGTTGACGCGACACAGTTTGGCGGGATATGGGTTTGTCCTACAGCAGCAGAGAGATGGGAGGACGCCAGCTATCGCGATGTCGTCTTGCACATAACAACAAGAAGCGATCATCTGTCGCGGTAATCCTCCGGCCACCTGACCTATGATTTTTTCATGGGTTTTGATCCTTTTGGTAACGATTTCACAGCCTATTGATGCACATTCAGCTCTTTCGCAAGAGCGGATTGTCTTGCACCAAGTTGCAGCACCTCAACAGCCCCTCAGCTCATTTCTTCATGAAAATGGCGTCTTCGTCTCCTGCTTTCCGATTTGCATAAGTTGGGTTACACTGAACTATCGCTGCTTGTAAACTGACGCATAGGTACAGCATATCCCTCTTTAAGATGCTGTGGTATGACTGCGGTATTGGGTTTTGTGCTAATTTTGGTTTCCTGTTAGGACTTCTACCTCATATGTAAATTCTACCTCATATGTAAATTGTATATTTTAGTTCTCCTTTTTACATTCGTACTTTTTCTTTTAGCTTTTGTTGCTTAATTTTGAGCACAAGTGTATTTACTACCTCTACATATAATAAAAGAAAGAGTCTGTCTGTGTGTGGGTGTCTTTCGTTCGCGCAGCGCGTAAGCTAATAGACCCACGGCTATGAAATTTGGTACATAGGTGCATCTAGACAAGAGCCAGTGCCCCTCGAAGCGATTTTTTCGAAATTAGAATTAGAATTTTTTTTATTTTATCTTTTGTGACGAAATCGCGTCATTTTCAGACATAATGGGCTAGGAAAACGAGATTTTACTCTACACACTCCATTTTAACATCATTATGAAACGTAGGTACTTAGCTATTTTACGAACTTAAAATAAATTTCGTGTTTCAATAAATCGATTAAATACGAATTTATTTAACAAAGTGAGCTTAACACCTTTTCAACGGGATTTTTTCTAAAAAAGTTTATTTTTAAAAATGTACAGTTTATTTTTCTTTGATTTTTGGACACGTTAAACTTTCATCCTTGCGACTGCTTTTACAAGAAGAATTTTGGAAAAATGATAATATTTTGTATTTTAAAAAATTTTTTTAAATGAAGCTTCCGAGTACACTTTTCACATCTCACATCTTTAAAAATGCGATTTTGGCATCAATTTTCCTGTCTTATTGTTGTTGATAGAATTTTGATGAAATCACATCATTTTGAATAGTTTCATTCTTTTCGAAATATGGGTTTGGCAACAATTTTTTATCGTATTTCTCATGTCACTGTTTTCAAGAGATTGGCATATTTCATTATCATTTATATATGACATACATATATATAATATATATATATATATATATATATATATATGTCATAATAAAAGCAAAGGAAAAGACGGAACACTGTAGATGCGTGATTAGACCCATATTGAAGAAGATTTTGATTGCGTAGTATGCTAGTAATGCTAACTTGGTAATATCTAAAGAACTTGGCAGTCGAGGCAGTTTTAATTCCATTTTTATTTGCAACTGATATTTGTGACCACAATCACTTGGCACTCTAGTCGTGCCTTTCCACAGAAGATTTACATTTTTTGATATTGTTGAGATAGAAAGCAAGCCAGCGAAATTACATCTCAGCACAGTAGAGAGCAAAAGCTGAAGTGCGTAGTTATGAAAGATGGAAGCGCGCGAAGAGAAACGTTTTGGTTTACAATTCGGTGATTGGTCGTCAAGAGGCATCTGGTATTAACGGTTACGTAAGATCGCATGATTAATTTGAATGACGCAATGCAGATAAGTTATTACAATTTTAGAATAGAGAGGAAGAATTAATATTTATAGTTATATTATAATTTCTGATCATTCATACACTTTTATCTTACATATATATATCTATATAATACATTATATAGATATATATAGATATATATATATATGTATAAAATACATTTTTATTGATTTTTTTTTTTTTTGATAAAGTTGTTCTGCAGAGTAAATTTCTGCGCGGAATTTTTTGTTTTTTGAGTTTCTTTCATGTTATTTTTTGCCTATTTCACTGTTTGTAAGATATTGAAAAGTTTTGCATGATTTTTTTTTTCTTCAACAGAAAGTTGGTTAATTTTTTATTAGGATAATTAATATTTGTATTAAGGGATATTGCCCTTTTCGTTGTAATTTTGTTATACGTAATAACTTTTCTTTTTATGAAGTTGTTCTGCAGAGTAAAATTCTACGTAGTTTTTAAATTTAACGTTTGGTGTTCTCTTCAGCCATTCTTCCGGTACATTTAAAAGCCACACGAAGGCTGGCAGCGAAGCTGCTAGTAAATTTATATAAAATTTGATTAATTAAAGGTATTACCTTTTTTGCTTCGTGCTAGTTTCAGTCTGATAATAGTAAAATCATTTAAATGGTTTTATAGTATGAGGCAAATATACGAAATTTTTAACTAAAATTATGTCAAAATTGTTCCGTGTTTTCTTAAGCAATAGCAATTTTAAAGAATGAGAATTTTTGACTTCGGAAAATTATACTAAGAAAAAATTAGCTGAAACAGAATCATTTCGTAGCCAAACAAATAGGATTTTTATAAACATTGTGAAAAATCAATGATAAAGTATTAATCAACTGAATATTAGAATACGTTGATGGAGTGCTTTCAATCGTCAAAAACTGTCGTCTGAATAGTGTTTAATGATGAAATAGAATGCAAATATCAGAGAATTATATTATATAGAAGCAAATATTATAGATTAAATTACAGCAGATATATTAATTAGGGACTGTAAACTAGTTCTCTTTTACACTTATCCTCACTTGAATGAAACAACTTAAAGGTGCTTTCAAATTTGTTCAGAGGCTTTTGGAAAACCTCTACTTCTGAGCATTAATATTCCACCAATAAAAAAATTGCCTAGACAAAATTAATACATTTCGCATTTCTTTTCCACAATACTGAAGATCACTGTTATTTTATCCTATAACTAAAGATAGATTTATATAGGCACTTAAGTCACAATCGTGGTAGGCTCCGCATTCCAAGGGGCCCTAATTTCCGAATGATTAATTAATTATGATACAGTAAACATACCTTGTGTTTTGAGACAAGACACCCCTAAATTTCAAATGAGATGGGATCCCCGTCTTATATATCTTCCACTGCTTATAATATGTTAAAATCTTTACCTACTTGAAACGACTTCATTCACCTGTTTCACAGAAAGTGCATATTCCATTCCAATTCCTTCCACAGACGGACCGGTGTACCCCACAGGGCAGGCATCACAGCGATAACCTGGAGCGGTATTCCTGCACGTTACATCCCTGTAGCAAGGGCTTGCTAAATCACACTGTAAGTGTATTAAGCATTATTTTTTTAAATATCTGTAAGTAATACAAATCAATAAAAACACAAAATATATTTCCAAAATTTTCAACTAAGTAACTATGTCTTAAGTATTTCAATAACATATATTTTTTATCAGAGATAAATTTATTACATCAGAGAGATAAGTGTTGTATATAATGTTTTACGCATCCGGTAAGCATATTTCACAAGTGCACATCTGTGTAGCCACCGAGGGAGTGGCTTCTAGGATGGACCAATGAGCATCCAGTAATATTACCGTCATGTCACATGACCTTTCGCGTGCTTTAAGATTTAAGCAAGAAGGTTGAATATATTCTGCCACGCAATTTTCTGTACAAAATAATTAAAACATCGTCGATTGCTTCTGAAACTTTTCATTGCGAAGTTAGATCAAGTACAGGAAATTATGAAAATTTCACTACCTGGTTGAAATAAATACAAAAACATGTTGGATACTTCGCAAAATTATCGATGTGAAATATTACTTAATAAGTGGTAAATAAGATTAAGAAAGAAATATGTGATAAACATCTGAGCCCAAATGCAATCTTTATATAAAACTATGCGTATGAAAAAATATTTACACCAATTATATATGCAAATAGAAGTCAGCCCTTTTTATTGCAACCTATATGAAAAAGGTGTTCTATAATAATAAACAATGCAGAATTTTATTCGAAGTAAACTTTACTAATTTGCATTCGTATACATTTAGTGCGTTAAATTTCACATTTAATAAATGCTCACCTTGAAATGTACTGTCTACACAAAAAATACTCATCAAACAGAGTGAATTTATCGTATTCACAATGAGTATATTCAGTTTATTCATATAAAATTTTTAATGCTAACAATGGATATAATCAGATCATATGTGTTCTGAATCTTACACTTTAAAAATCAAAAGAATGCAAGCACTGAAATAAGAAAGCACTAGATTCATTGTAACACTTTCAATCATTCTCAGCTCAATTAAAAAAAAATATACACTTGAATTCTCTTAGCCCACATAATATGCCACGAATATCAAACCTAATATTAATGAGTGATAAAAATCGCGAAAGTGAAATGTCAGCGATTAATCAAACTCAGAAAACGAAAGCACTACGAGATTTTCTGCTATTACGCCATACATTTATAACTGTCAAACAAATGCAAATTAAAACGTAAACAACATACGCTCACATGCACGAAGATTTAGTGTCACAAGAGCAGTAGCAGCTCATTGGTCCATTTTCGAAACCCCTCCCTCAGTGGCTACGTTGATTTGCACTTGTGAAATATGCATCCGGTAACATTTTTGCAAACTAATACACTTTATGTTACAAAAGCTCATGCAGTTTGTTTAAGTATAATTAATTGTAAATGATAGTTTTTATGAAATTAGGAAAAATCACTTATTTTTAATTCGGTATTACTTTTGCCAGTTTAAGAAAGGCATTTTGTTTGAGATATTTAATGCTTTTTATGCTATCACTTTCCCTGAGGTCGACTGGAGGCAACCGCCAGTATTCTGGCTAAGACCTGTACTTAGACTGGGCTTCTGGAGTACACAATCAATCTTCACAGGACTAGAGCCACCAATTCTTCGGTGGTACGCTCAGGCGCGGCAGGGACCGTATCGTTACTGTCCAGTCTGTCTGGGGCTGTGTAATCACTATATGGATCACTATATGGACATTTTTAAAGCCGTTCTCCTCCGTCCGGGTGCTCGCCTCCGCTGGTCATCTCAAAATGAAGGTGTCCGCCGGAAACATCGCGGCAAAAACATAGCGGACAAAGACGTCGAGGAAAAAACAATGCAAGGTGAAAACGTCGGGATACAAAACATCGTGGAAGAAAACATCGCAAAGAGGAAATATCGTGATACAAAATATCGTCGTCGAAAATAAAGCGGTTCAAAAACTTCGCAGTTTAAAAACATCATTATCGAAAATATCGTGGTAAAAAATAAAGTACCTACAAATCATCGCTTGACGATAACATCGCACACATGCATTTTTATTTTTTTAATTTTTTTTCAGGTTTTTAAAAACTGTAAATGTATTTTCGCATAATGATTTGGGAGGGCAAGAATGAAAGAGGAATATTTTTGAATGAACTAATAAAATTTACTAAAAAAGCAAGAAAGAAACTTAAGCATTTAAAAATTGAAAATGAGTAGAAAATTAATGCAACTTACAACACTTAATAGAACTTTAAATTTACATCGTTAATTTACAAATGCCATTAATAAATTAATATTTTTTTATAAAGTTTATAAAGTTTTTATAAAGTTTTTTTATAAAATTACCATTACTTCTTTAATTCTTAAATTAACAGCTTTAAGCGAAAAACAAGATTTTGTATAGTTTCAAAAATTAATAAGATTTTCAATAAGATTTCTCCTGGTATGTTTAAAAAAATTTACTGACTTCGTCAATATCTTCACAATGAGTTCCATTTCCAGAGAAGCCTTCAGGGCAAGGACCACATCGGAACCACGGAGAAGAATCTGTATTGGTGCATCTTACTCCGGAAAAGCAAGGGTTTTCAGCGCATCTGTCAAGTGGTTTACACGTAATTCCATCTCCTGTGTATCCGGATGGACATGGACCGCAGCGGTAACCATTTTCGGTCTCATAACATCTGACTCCTAAAATAGCCAAAACTTACTGTAATTAGTTTATATTACAAGTATTATTCAACTCCTCAACTTATTTTATTACTATATTTGATTTTTGGTAATTGGACCAAGAAATATATTATTCAAATTTATCTTCTTGAAGTAAAATTCAAGAAAAAAAGCAAATTTTATTTGTTTTATAATGTTCTTCTCTCCGATTTTATTTACTTAATAAATATATGAAGACAGTCATAAAAAATTACATTTTCTAGCAAATTCATAGTAGCATATTTTGTCTATGGTAAATCTTTTTTCTTAGAAAAATATTTTTTAAAAACTGAGTGCCTCTTAGAACTGCAATGCTTCCGAAATACAGAGGTTGTTCGCACATTTTTTAGACGAATTTGGTAAGCGGTAATAAAAACTCGTTTGCTGCAAAAGAAGTAATTGCAATTGTACTATGTTTTTAAAAGTCAACATTATCGTCTGTGGCTTGAAAGTTTTGTTTTTATTCAAAATGGCGAATTTAACAAAGCAGTGCTTCGAAGGCTACATTTACGTTCTTTCCGAAGAGAAATATGCATACTCCGTTATCCAAAAACGATGTGAGAGTCATGGTTTTGTGATAGCTAAAGCGTCGATAGGCAATATCATCAACAGGAAAGGAAACAAACGTCAAATTGGAGCCTCAAGTGGGACAAAAATTCCAAACAATTATCGAAGGAAAAAACGGACATCTTCGACTATTCCAAAGGCACGTTGTTTAATGTTAAAAGAAAATCCCCCTAGTCAAAGAATAGTTGCAAAATCATTAAACTGCTCGGTTGTCCAACTGTAAACAAAATGATAAACGTTGATTTAAATCTTAAGAAAGCGAAAAAAACGCAATGTGCATCGTCTTCTTCCAAAGCATATCGCTCAACGCAGGACACGCTGCAGAATTCTATGTGAGAAACACTGATCCCAAGAAAAATGGAAAACAATTGTCACAATAGATGAAGCATAGGTGTATTTAAATGATTGTAACAAAAAAGAGCCATTTATTATCATAAAAGGGGAGAAAAAATTTAAGTACATGGTTCAAAGAATCGAAAGAAAGTTTTTCTAAGGGATTCATGATTGTTGCTGGTTTTTCTTATAATGGCAAGTTAAAAATAAAGAGAGCGCAAAAAAATGTCAAGATTAACTCCAAATACTATCAAGAACATATTTTATCACCAATTTTTCTGAATGAAATACCATCGCTTTACACACAGTGCCATCCGTCTGTGAGACTCCATCAGGACAAAGCCAGCAGTTACACATCAAAATCCACTGTAAATTTCCTAAAAAAAATGGAACAAAAAACTGGTATCAAGGCCACACCCTTCACTGATATCCCTACTAAATCTCGTGTATACGAGCCAGTTTCCCTTAGAAAGTCCTCCACGAAGGCATCCCTCCCCTTAGGCAGATAGCCCTAGTGTGCTTTGCCATAATTAAATACACCAACACCACCCTACTAAATCTCCCAATGTGTCACCTATTCCTTTTTGTGCTTTTGGACTTTTAAAAATTGCATTATCCAAACGTTGTCCCAAAAGCCTAACAGAACTGTGAAAAGCTCTTCGGGAGTAATGGGATAGAATATCTCTTCTGCTACTTCAAAAGGCATTATTATCCTGTAAATTGCAGTATCGAAAGATAGTTCAGAATAAGGGATGTCAAATAGAACATTTAAAACACAAGAATTTTATGTAATTTAGTTTTGTGAATACAATATACATCGTTTAAAAATGTGTGAACAGGCTCTGTATTAATTATTTGGAAGTAATTCATTTTTCCAAATAATAAATTTAAAGCGCTGTACTACTGTTGTAGTAAATAAATCAAATTCAATTATTCAAAAATATTCTTCCCTTCTAAGCTGCATCCTTTCCTGTATATAAAATGTTTTCAAAAGCGATATGCGTCTGAGAATTGCATATTTTTACGAATTATTATTTCGATGCATTTAATTTTTTCATATTACGAATTTAAATCATATGTACTATTGTTGCTAATAAATCGAATTCAAATATGAAGAAAAATAATTCTTGGAATGTAAGCTGCCTCTTTTTCCTCATATAAAGGTGACTAAACCGGGTGAGTTTTAGAATCCACAGATTTTTCTGTATTATTAATTTTTAAAGTATTAATTGAAAGGGATTTACTTTATTATTAATAAATCGAATTTGATTAGTAAAAATATATGTTTATGTAATTGAGCATTTTATCTAATTTATTTTTACTGGTAATGAATGGGCTGATAAACTAGCTAAATCAAATAACTGAAATCTTGCAATCAAATAAATGTGGGATACCTTTCAAATCATTGAAACGAATATTAAAAAATATCCCGAGGAAATATTTTGAAGTTAAATTTTTTGAAGAAATTAAGAATAAGAATTGGAGGGATTAGATTTGCAACATTTACTTGTAGGGCTTTCCTTAATTTGCATAACAAATTTATTTTAAGTTTGATACCTATTCTAGACTTCTCGACTTACCCTCACATTCTCTCGCCAGGATGTAAATTTAAAGTTAAGTGAAGTGCTCATTTAAACGGGTGAATATCTGAGTTTTTCAGAGCGTGTTTCGAAACCCAAGCGCACATTTCGTTGTTATTTCGCTGTTATCCTAGTAAACCTATTGGCCTTATCAGATACAGTATCCCGCAGTTTTGACTTGCATTATATTCTACGTTCTGTTTTCACCGCAAGTTGACGGTGTTTTTTTTAACGCACGAAGACAATGCCTTTCTGTTAATTATTTTGAATTAATAAAGGGTTATTTTTACCCTTCGTCTGAGTCAGTAGTTTTATTCACGTCTATGCGAGAATTCGCCAGGTCATTATACGGTCTATTCTAGTGTATGTAGAACAAAAGAGAAAGACTCTATATACTTACTAGATTTATAATATCTTAACAATTACTAGATTTGTTAGTAGATAATAATTACTAGATTTGTCATATCCCAGTCTTTCCCAGATTGAACGCAGTTGTGGTGTTTCATTTGAAGAGACATGATTGTCTCACTAAACATCTGCACATCTTATATATATATATATATATTAATTAAAGTAGAAAGAACAAACGATAAAAGACCTATGTAGTCAAAAACTTTGCGCATTGTGCTGCAAAATTAAAGAAATTAAAAGATAAATTCTAGTACGAACGCTAAAAAGCTGCTTAAATACTGTGGTTCCGTGAAAACTTTAAGCAAAATTTGTTGCAATGAAATGTGTTAAAAGAGAAAAATATAACATTTGATTATTTACAAGTAAAAATCAATATTAATAGTAAGCAATATGCTAAACTAATTAAGGTATATTTAAAACATAGTAAAAGTATTAACTAATTAATCGAGTTAAAAATAAAAATTAAGAAGCGGTAAATGGTCGATTAGCCCAATTCGAAGTTCACCAAGGAACGTCAGGGGAAATATTTTTTAATGAATTTTGAACTAAGCTAACTCCATCCCGCGTTTCGCCGAAACAGACAATTGAAATTGTACGCGACACATTTTTCAATTAATTAAATAAACTTTGTCAAAATCTTGAGTCTCAATTCTCTGTTCCAGTTTCCCGACGCGTCCGCTTGAAGTAACACATTAAGGTGTAAAAAAAGATAAAAAATTAGGGAATGAAAATGCCGATGTACAGAATAAAATAAATAGCGATATGCTATGAGTCAAAATATACAATGTTTTATGGGTGGACATGCTAGCTTAAAGAGTTAATACTTTGTAAAAGTACCCAAAATATTTTTAATTCAAAACTGAAATGATAATAAAATAGACGAATTGAAGCAAGGGTCTTGCCAAGACCTAGAAAAATGTTTAGAGAAAAAATATTATTAAAAACAGTGCCGTCTTCTTTGGCTAACGAAGAAACTCGTTAGCAAAGAAATATATAAGGGTATATATATAAAGGTATATAAAAGGGTATATATATAAGAGTCCCTTGTGCACTTTGTGCAGACAGAATTTTGAGATGGACAGAGATCATTGGCTAAAATGTTCCTCGTTCGTTGAAGGAAGGAAACCTGTCAATATTGGCGGGCTAGAGATTTGATGCAGTTGAGACATCCTGAGACTAATTATTATTATCATTATTATTATTAATGCTTTATGTAGTCAATTGTTATTAATTTTTTCAGTTTTAATGTAGTTATTGTTATTGTAGTGAGGTTAATTACTGTTGTACCTTTTTGTGTTTCTAGTTCTTTCCCCTTCCCCATGCTCCACTCTCATAGGTCTTTGATGCATGGAAGCCAATGATGTATAATCAAGTACCTTTGCAATTAAAAAAATCTAATTTATTTTATTCGCTTACACTTTTTTTTTTCCGCTAATAGCACTGCAATTACGGACAGCTTCTCGGAATCAAAAAAGCATCGTATTTTGCGTACTAAAAATGAAAAATATCGATACAATTGTATTGTTCCGTATACTCGATTGTTTTTACATCGATTTAATTGTATTGCTCTGGATTATTTAACTGTGGCAGTATATGGAAAAAGCATACTCTGGAGTATACAAACCCAAATAGCAAGGTCTGTCTCTGCAAGTGATTTCGGGCTTGCATGTGATACCATCGCCCACGAATCCTCTTGGACAGGAACCACATCGAAATCCGCCAGGAGTATCAGTGCAAACTACTCCTTGGAAGCAAGGTCTGTCTCGGCATGATCTCTCTTCTGGAAAACAGAATGATACGCATGAACAGTTTCTATCATGTTATAAAGTTACATGACCAACATTAGATTCATTATTAATAATTTATATTAGTTTTCATGATTTAATATGTTTCTAGTACATATTAAATCATGAAAAAAAAATAAAATGTTTGATGGATATGGAAAAAGCGATGAAATTGATTTGGAAACTTATATTGCAATTTTTTTATTAATATTACCATTTTTCTTTCACGTCATAACTACAAGACCCCAATCATGTTAGACACTGGGAATTAGTTAGATATGCTTCTGCTTCTTAGATTACACTGAGGCTGCAACTGTTACAAATGCACTGCAGATTCTGACATTTTAAACTAGCCTACTTTGGTCATTTTTACTTCCTTGTACGAAGTAAAAAGGAAGTATTGTAATCGCGAAAGTTTCAGGCAGCATATTTCAACGAAAATATTCATTTTGACAGCTATCGAATACAATTTAACGATGTTTTTGGGTGATATCTGTACGTAAGGACAGAGTAAAATACTCTTTTCCTCCAAAAAATTATAAAACTGCTTTAAAATGAATTCTGAAGAGAATTTTTCGTGGCGTCTGTACGAACGTATGTGCGTACGTACGTATCTCGCATAACTCAAAAACCAATCGGCCGCACCAAACGTATATAAATATATTTATATATATATCCACTCTGTTACCCAGCTCAGTGATCTCAGTTTCTTTACTCTTATATGTTTGTAAGTTGTACATTTTTTGCTTTAAAAATGATTGAATCATGTTCTTATCTTCCGTTTAAGGTTTTTATGCCTTTAGTAAATCTGTATGCAATTTTTTAGAATTATCAACAATTTTAAAGTTGTTTAAGTGCCGCTAAGCCTAATAATTTTTTATGGCGGCCATTGCTTGTTTACATTTGAAACAGCAGGATAGTGGATTTGTTGCCAGAGAAACTTAGCTTCGCAACAACAAAGATAGCACCTTCATTTATTATTGCGAATTAAATCATGCTTAATCCTTTCTGGAATTTTTTTGAGGAACTAAGTGTTTAAGATTTACTTTGTAATTTTTAATACAGATATTTAGAGTTTTTAGATATTTTTGCCTTCTCGCAAAGTGAGAACTGAATTAATTGAATGAGAAATGCTCAATCGTCTATGAAAAACTGTTTCTTTTTTTTTTTTTTTTTTTTTTTTTTTTTGTTTGTTTGTTTTGTTTTGTTTGCTTAATTTCTTTTATACATCGTTCTAGATTTATTGTAGTATTTGAATAGAACATGTAGCAACGATTAGCTAATTCTTTAAATGATATAAATTTTGTGCATTCTGAGTTATAATATGAACGAAATGTATAATACTGTTAAGTGAACCTAGCGCCAGAGTGTCGCTATGGTAAACAAATAGAGTGAATTTTAAAAAATGTATTTATTCTGTTGTGGCTTATGCGTTGTCGGCGAAGTAGATTTAATTCAATCCAATAAGTTTAAATGAAATGCAAGAAAAAATGCGTATAATTTAATATTCCGTACAAGGAAGTCATGTGGTGTGCACATCAGATTTTTCAGAATGTTGAAAGTACATTCATAGCTCAGGCAAAGTATCAGCATAGCCCATACTCATAGCCCAAGCAAAGCCATTTCAAATGAAGCTTATTTTAAAATAAAGTGCTGAATATTTTATTAATGTATGGAATGTTTTGCGTGCTCAAATATATTAACTTCTAAGAAAACAAAATCCAAAGAAAATACTGAAATTAATCATTTTAAAAAGTTTCTTTAATGTACTTTAAACCGAAGATCTCGATTTCATTTTTCGCATCGCTTGAAACTATTAGGGATGCCTCAAGGCATTTCAATGAAAGCATCCTAATTAAAGGCAACATCAAAGGCAGCAGTTATTATATAAAACCCACGTATTTACTGTATTTCAATGATTTTTTCCCTTTCATCTTTTTGCCACCTTTATCATTTTGAGAATTCCTTTTTATCCTATAAATAATTAGATCCTCAACTAAATTGTAATCTACTAAAAAATCTGCTTAAATTAACAAATTTCCTGAAATTCTGTTTCTCAGTGCAATTACACAAACACAAATTTAGCTAAGATAGTTTGAGCTTTCTAAACAAAAAAAAAATTAAAATATTTCAAAAAGGAATAACCAAGCAATAAGATAATTAATATTTCTAACACTCACCTCTACACATAGCGCAGTTCTGAAGTGCTTCTCTCAAGTATTTTGTTTCTCGAGTCTGGATAAAGAAAAAAGGAAATTAATGTAAGCTATTATAAATATTAAATGAATGAATACTTCTGCAAATATTCTGCATACAGTTTCAATAGTGAGCAACGAACTATGTAGACGGATTCCACAAGATATGCCAAGCGTATGATTCATAGAGCGAATACAGACGAAAATGGAGAAGGTAATTAAAACATTTATAGTTTTATAACCTTGAATAGTTCAAACAGAATTATGACGTTATTACATACACACCTATAAGAAGTTCTGAATGCTCAGAAATATATGATAAAATGAAATCAAACATTTATATGATAAAATGAAGTCAATTAATCAAAAATTCACACGCAATCAGTAATTGTTGTGGATTTGAAAGCAGATATCCTAGAGTAACAGAATTTTTAATGTTAAAGATATACCTTGCGTAATTTCACATCTGTCCTTTTAGCCTTAGGTTCTGAAATTTTTTAAATTATTCGCGTAATTTTTCCTTTCTTCATTGAATTCAGAAAATTAACTCCCCTAGATTTTAAAATGGGTTCATCCATGTAGTGATTGTTTTCTTCTTATTAACAAAGACAAACCCTCGCGAACTACTTGCGAAAGTCACGCCGAACCTTTCCTTCTGACTATTAAAATTTATGCCAACTTACTATAAGCACCCTCACCATCACAGCAAAGCAAACATGAACTGACTTTCAGTTTACGAGTTTGCTGAGTCGGCTGCTCATCCACATTCTTTAATTATTTATAAGGTATTTCTCCCACCTTCTTGGCGAGCCTTCGTGGTGTGGTGTTCTGCACACTGGGCCGGTATTCCAGAGGTCCATGGTTCGATTCCCGGCGAAGGCGATTGCTCATTTTTTACCTTACCTGCTTCACAAAAATACTTAATGTCCCTACAACTAAAAGGGTGTTGGATAACGATTCTTCTCACCCAAGATTTGGCGATTGGGTCCCCTAAAAACCCCAGTTGCCTTTTAAAAGGGGGAGTGTATAAGGCATTTTTCCCACCTCCTTGGCGAGCCTTCGTGGTGTGGTAGTCTGCACACTGGGCCGGTATTCCAGAGGTCCATGGTTCGATTCCCGGCGAAGGCGATTGCTTATTTTTCATCTTGCTTGCTTCACAAAAATACCTAATGTTTCTTCATATTTATGGATGATTTGAAGCCTAAGACGCTGCACAGACAACAAAAAGAATGGCCGAGATCCGAGTTACATGGAAACAAAAAGGAAGATATCTTATTATATATTGAAATCTTAATATTAGTATGTATTCCTGTCGTAATGTAGGTTTCTTTTAAAGAAATAATATTATTATAGCTACCTGTAGTTTACCCATAACTACTTTTCATTTGCTATGTTCTTACTGCAATCGCGTCCTTAAGAAATTAAACTATTCGCATAATTTTCCCTCTTGACTTTAAAACAATAAAATTAGTAAGAAAAGGGGGGAAATGCGAAAGAAAATGATGTATTATGAGTGCCCCTGTTAAGATTTATACATATATACATATTTGTTGCAGTGATTAAATTGCTTAAATATATTACGTAATATGTTACGTATGTAGCACGTAACACTTATTTCAATTTTTGTCAAAAAACACTTATCTCTTTATTTTTCTTATAGATATTATTAATAACTGCAAATTTTACTGCTTATTCATGACTTTAAAAATGGTTAGTTGCATTATTATTTAGTCTTTTTTTTCCTCTTGTTTGGAATGTTCAACGTAATGAATATACCACCTACCCGTTCTATATATGCGTATTTATGTCTTGGGCAAAATCATACGAAACAAAGGCATATCATGCCCTTGTTTGTCACTAGAATTAGAAGTTTTTAAATTGTGTTAAATTTGTTAATTGTTTTTTAATTTGTTTAAAATTTTGTTTAAATTTGGTTAAAATTGTTAAAATTGTGATTGGAATTTCAAGCTTTTAACGTGCACAACATTTGAAGTTAGAGTTTAACTTTGCAATTTTGCGGCCACCGCGATCCCCGACCAAAGGATATGTATTGTACGTTTTTTGCCCCGACTTCACGCCGATGGAGTTCTGGTTCTGGGATTATCTGAAATCTACACAGAAATATACAGTATTCTAAGATGAATAGTATTGTACACAGATTCCTTCTGCAGTGTTACTTTCGTCATTGTTGTCAACAATCCCAGAATTTAGGTGCCTTGAAAACTTTTAATTGTAATAAAAGTTTTTTGCCCCTCTCCTTTCTTGTGTTGTCACTGGTCCTTGACAATGCTGTTCTTTGCAAATGCTTTACGTCAATTTTCTTCATACGTGTATCGTTCCAACGCCATTTATGGTTTTTCAATGCGCTGATCCATTTGCGCAGGAAATGGTTTGTTATCATTCGAAAGTTCTGAAGTTTTCTCACTGTAACCGTAACCGTGAAAGCTCTATTATTTTTAAATCATCACAATCTCGCGCGCATACCTTCGAACAACAATATCTGAAATTTAATTTCGACTGGTTGAGCGAATAGGCAGCAAGGGGTTCTTATATAGAGGAAGTAATTTTATTACCGACATGTATATACTGAAGAAGCTAGAAAAAAAGTGCATTGCATCATCCAAAATCCTAAACAAAAAAGGCAAAGAAAATACAGTAATAAAGCTAGTGACAAATATTAATTAAAAGATGAATAATTAAATTTAAAAATTAAATTAGAGCCTTAAAAATTAAACTCGGGTTTTGCCACAACGAAAATTTATAATCATTGAAAGGATAAACGTTTATGGAATCTGAAATTCCGGGCAAAAACGTATATCAGTTAGGTAACAAATTAATTATATAAAAAGCTATTGTTTGATGGGATTTCGATATCTGCTTTTAGTAAGCTAATCCCTGAAAATTTTAAATACGATAGTCCACGAATACAAAAGAATTAAAACCAAGGAAGATAAAGCAGTAACGTGAGCAAAAATATAATAACTCATTGATGGACTCATATTATTATCCTGAGGACTCATATTATTATCCTGAATATAATAACTCATATTATTATCCTGAATATCAAAGTACATAATAATATGGTTTTATCAGCATATTCTATTAATAATGACATCAGTTGGATATTTTACTATAATTTAATTAATTAAATTCATTCATTAATTAGATACATTATTAAAAATAACTTGTAATTATCGAAAAATGAGTTTATTGTCTTTAAGGTCCCTCAATTTTTTGAGCAACTAAATTATAATTTAAAAATAAATTTAAAATCTTGAGTTGTGCGGAACGGTAGCGCTATGACAAATGCCATTTGCTAAGTCGTGGGGAAGTTAAATTCAAGATCTTATGTCTCTTGCAACAACAATACTTGCCTGATCGCGTAGATTAGAAATATCGTCAAATTAAACGCAAATAATTTGAAATATTAAATTTTAGACGTTTTCAGCATTAAAACTGTGAATAAGACAAAGGTAATAAAAATGCAATATAATGGAGCAGAATAATCTAAAAATCAATTTCGTTATTGAATTATTTCTCACATCTATCTTCTATCGGTAGCTGCAAATATGTGGTATTGAATGGTAAAACAATTTGTTTGTGCTGTAAGGTATTTTCTTCCTCCTTTCTGCATGCCTTCGTAATGTAACGGTAGCACACTCGACGCGTGTACAAAAGGTCCAGGTTCGAGTACTGGCGAGGGTACCGCACATATTTCAGTTACCTTACATCGGAAATAACCTAACGTATCTACAGTGGCGCCCAAACTAAAAGTGGTAGGTGATGATTCTTCACCACCAGAATTTAGCGATTGGGTCTTCTAATCCCCAGTCGCCCTTTAAAAGGGGAAGTATCAAAAACGTATCAATTTGAAAACTTCCAGATGGTAAAGCGATAAAACATGGTAGAAGAAAAAGCAGATACAAATTGAATTCTTCAGAAAAGCTTCCAAGAAATCTGAATTCATAAATTCCTTAAGTGCACAACAAACAAATGCATTTTGTCTCAGTAAATTCAAGAAATATTTTCATTTATAATGCATTTTTTTAATTATCCCTTACAGTAATTTTAGAATAATTTATAATTTTCGCTAATGTGTACAGTCATTTAAAATTCTTTTGGAGCAGAAGACAAAAATGCCTTCTATGGAACTTGAACTCCCTATTGCTAGCTGGACGTGCTTCCAATTACACCAAGAAGTTACGAGATAAAGATTGAAAAAATACCTTACTACATTCTGTTCTAACATTTCAAACTTTACAACCGTTACCTTACAACATTCTGTTCTGAGTTTTACGGCTGATTCCCTTGCTTTTATCACCACTATGTATGTACCAGACGTCAATTAATTTATTAAATAAAGTTTTAAAAATGTAATTTTTATTTGCTACTTTGGATTAGTTTTCCATAATGTTTCACTAACCATCTGCGAATACGATTAAATGAACTTCATCATAACGCTTGTACTATTATTGAAAATAAAAACATCTTTTATTTATTACCAGCTCTGAAAAATGTTAACAATAAAAGATTTAATGTCTCGAGTCCATTTTATATCACCTTCATCTCTGCGGATAAAATCTTTTAACTGCTCCATAAAGCACGGTTGGGCAGAACGCTCTAGGCAACCACTAACAGGAGGGGATGAATTAATAAACTGAAAGCCATATAAATGTCCACCCCTCCGGGGCGCCATCGTGTGTGCATCAAATGTCGCAGATACAGGGTCCAGATGGCCCCATTTAGTGCCGATGAGTCCCAAGAGGACATCAACGCTTCACGAAAGAGAACACTTGCTGTTGCAATCCTGGATAAGTCGTTTGGGTTGGAAGCTGCCAAAAAAGAGGTTTTTCAAAAGATTTAAAAAGTAAACGCGTAGGCAAACACACAAAGCAGTAGTTTGGGAATTAAAGTAAGCAACGCTAACGAGAATGTTTATGTATTAGTTTGATTGCCAAGTCCTGACTTCATTTTGCATCTGGAGAATACATTCGTGTAAATGTAATAAGATCTTTATAAATATAAAATATTTGCAGATTA